TCTGAGGATAGAACATGTACATGTTGAAAGTAAAGCAATATTTAATTACATGAATTTGCTCTTAAATACGGAGACTCCTCTGCTGTGCAGAAAATTAATACTAACCTTCACAAACAAAAACTAATTCACTTTTTCAGAAGATAACAAAACCAAAAATTTTTCAGGATTTCTGTAATAAACTTATTTTGATAGCTTTACCTTAAGTAATCTTGTGGAATGATATTGATAGCTGCTTCAGTTTTCACATCCAGAGGAACTGGCATCAGCATTAAAAAGGGAGGATCAAAATTGATTTTTGGTGACTTCACAGTGCCAGTCAATGTTATTTTGTAATGCGATGGATTATCATTTAGACATACTGACATTTCAGATGTATATGTGCCAGGACAAGCTGTTAAAAAGGGTTAAAACAAAACAAAACAAAAACCCACAAAATTATATTACCATAAATACATGCAACTAAAAGCATCACGGTAAGAGGCTTTGGGGTTTAGTTGTTACTGTTTTTTAAAAAAGTTATTGGTATTACTTTCTTACTCAAAATGTAGCTTAACATACAGTAAACATTGAATCAGAAGAACTGTTTATTAAAAAAGTTTAGAACACCTGCCTATAGCAAACCAGAAATCTGTACCTTTTTTAATTTGTCAGAAGTTTTTCAAAGTTTTTCTGCACTTACTGCATTAATATTCCTTTATATAAAACATCAATGTAACACTTCTCAGAATTTTAAGAATTGCAGTCATTTTATGAATTACACTAATTAACACAGTGAATGCTACTTCTGTACAGGAATAAATATCAGAAGCATCTAACAGCCGAGACAAAAAAAAGTTTGTGCCTTTTAAGATGGCCATCACTACATTTTAACAGATGACTCAAGCCTATACTGTTGCCAAGGCAGCCTCTCAAAAGCCAGCAGGACGGATTCTACCTCCACTGAGAGAATCCCATTTCTGTGTGTTCTGACCCTTCTCATGCCATCTTGCTGACTGCTGCAAAGCAGCTCTCTAGGACGGAAAAGCACATTTTCTTTCACTGATACAGGGAGCAAGGCGCTTCCTTCCACAACCGTTACACTATCAAAATGGTGTTCCAAACCACACAGAGTCATTTACCAAAATTTCAGTCATTCCCACTTGCTGAAGAGCTAGCAAAATAATCAATTTTGAGGGCCAACTAATGAACACCTCTTCTATTTAGAAACAAATCCAAAAAGTTTCATCTTTTCATTTTTGAGAAGAACACCTCTTCGAGTAAAACAAATGATTTTGTATTTTGTTTCTATATGAGCATATATGTGTCACTGCAAACAAAACACATGGACAAGCTCTTCAGAGATTAGCTCAGATAATTATTTTCACAGCCTGAGAAAGAGCTGCCATTGTTTACATACACAAAGAAGAAAACCTACTGTCTCCAAAATATTTTGAGTTATTCCCTCCTCATAAGAGCCAATTTCTTCATGGAGCTGAAAATAGTGGAGCTTCACAGAAACCTGTTAGCTCACTAGAACATGGTCTGCAGATCCCTTTGCTTCAGACCAGAAAACATGAAAGTGGCAAAGTGAAAGCCAGATGAAACGGTAACTTGCTGCAATGGTTGCAACATCTGACCAATTCTCTGTTAAATGGAAATCAATAGGAGACAATACTGCTGAGAAGGCTAAGCAGCGTGTGCTTCTAGTTTTTGATACAGCAAAACCACAGTCTTTTTCTGGCACTTAGTTCTTCTATGAGGGAAAGGTGAGAGAGAGCATCAGAAAAGGCCATGGAGATATATGAAGAGCCAAACAGGGTGTTTTTGACATGCTTGTAAGAAAAGATGTTCTGGACAAGTTATTCCCATATACGAGCAAGACAGTCTACTGTCCTACAGCTGTGCTCTAACTAAATCGTATTTCTGGTATCCTGTCTTTGTACATATGTATGACACATGGCAAAGGAAAGTGAAAGGCCATAACCAATAAATGCCATAGGGATGGAACACCATGAAGAAAGAAAAGTTGAGGAGCATATGTCAGTACAACAGAACTTGCAGTTTTCACTAACTCGCATTTTAAAATATTCATATTAATCATAGTTCCAAAGTTAAACCTTCAAAAGTTAGGAAAGAATAATGTTAAGCTTTCCTCACACAAACTTTTCAGCCATTCTGTACACAACAACTGTGACAAATCCATTAACTACACCATCGCATCCATTTGCCATAGAATCCCTGACTCGCTCAGGAGGCAGAACAGACAGTGCTTATTCTGCAGAGGTGATCATTCTGTGTGTAGCTCCACGCATTTACCAACATCAAGATTCCACATTATATGTAAGCCAATAATTTATTGCTTATGTCAGAAACACCAGGATCTTGCGATACTGTCCTCATTTTAAACAGACACAAAGGCAAAAAAAGTGTATGATTCCATTAAGTTTTGTTCAATAGCTTGTAATGCCTTGGACCAATGTTTCCAGGATATTTCATGTTAAATAAATTACTTTTAAATTAATGAGAATTATGTCCTGAACTAACAGCTGAAGTCATGAGTTTATACTATTAATCACATCTTTCATGACTACTGTAAAAGCTTGTGCTGCTGTTACCATTCTGATATACCACCATTAATTTCATATAGGGCAAGCAACAAGCAGTCCAGCAGATGTGAAAATTTTCCTTAGGGAGATTTGTTGGTATTTACAAATCTGCCAATCTAAATTTGTCAAGGGCTAACAAAATCTGCAGAATTATACGGGAAATTTCCCCTTTGTCTTTTCTAAATATATTTATTAGGGGAAATAAGCATTCATTGCCTTACCTTAGAAAAAACTCTGGATAAAGTAACACAACGTCTCAAAGTACATATGTGCATATATTCATTAGCTGCTTCATTTTCAGTCTAATTTGCACTAGAAAGCCCATCCAGTTCAGAGTGCCTAACTCTCTAGCATGCTATCCAGGGACTATACTTTATGCAGATTCCTTGTTAATAAAAACATACACAGATTATATTTCTGCTGAATGTTCCGCTTCCAATATGCAAGTTCCCCTTCCAGTACTGCTCACGCACTTCTGGAAGAGAAATATTTCAAGCCTCCACACTTTCCACTCTACCTATTTCAGCTGCAACTTAAACGAGCAGCAAAAGCTAGTTTAAACAGCCATCTCTTTAAGGTTCTCCATATTCTTTGTTCCTCTCTAGCAGCAAAAACCTAATTCCCTCCCCCTCTCCAAAAAAATCTTAACTGTATAACAGCATGGGTTTTGATCTTTTATGGATATGTGGGAAGAAAGTAAAATCACCATCTGCTCTTCTCACCCTCTTAAGTTTGTATTAAATTGTTATTCAGTCCCTACTCTTGTCTCCCAAATAAACTTTTTTAGTTTAATTGCCTTGGACTTTCCAATAATTCATGCACAAGAAGATCATACTAATATACCTTCTATTTGCAGATTTAAACAAATTAATCAGCACTCAAAGTTCAATTTAAGGTTTGTGCACTCCCACACACAAACCTATGAAGGTGATGAGCACACCATATTCATTAACTAGGTCTCCTGTGTGGGTTTTGATGTATCTAATGTTCTCTTACAAGAAAGAATAACTCTCTTGAATGAAGGTATAGCACAAACACTTATAAATAAGGGGAAAATACTTAGAACATAGAATGACGGACAACTGATTTTTACAGTTACTTATGATTTTCTGTAAATAAAAGATATGGGGATACAGCAAAAATACAAATAACTTCAAAGGGCAATTATTTATCAGTCACATTTATGTGTATGCACATCTGCATTTACACATACAATTTATTCAGTAATTCAAAATACTGGCTTTTATTTGTATACTGTTCTCTGCTTCACAGTCTTTGCAACACACAAACATGTTTAATACATTCTTATAACGTAAACACCTAACTAGAACAACCATCATATGAATAATAATTTCACCTACTCATTATCACATGATCCATATCCATCTGCTACACAAAATAGTATTAGATTGGTGTTTTTAAAAATTTCCTCTGTCTTAAATGCCAGACTGGTATTTAGACAAAGGAGAAAATGAGACACTGCTCATCTGGGACCTAAAAATCACCACACATCTGGAAATACAGATTTTTCTTTTTATCTCCAAAGTCTAATATTGCCCTGACCAATTTTTGTTTCCAAGCCACGTACTTAACCAATGTAAAATGCAGCTAATTATATCTCCTATTAGAAGAACATGTTTCTCAAATTAAAAGCAGAGAAAAATGTTTGTGTTCTTCACAAGTGATTATTTTAGTATGATCCACTATTATTATAACCTTAGGCACATTCTGCAAAAACATCTATTAGAATACCTTCTCAAAGTTACACCACTTATTTTGTAGGCTTTAATATCTGAAATACTGCAGAAAAAACATGACTGAAAGCAAAGCAGAAATTTATGAAAGAAGAAAAAAGGTTTAAAAGAAATAGAGCTACAGTAAATTACATGCGTATTTTTTAATTGCATCTCAAGGAACCACAGAAGGTTGAGTGTTTATTTTTCACTTTCCAACCTTTTATATTTTCACTCCTCTTTCCTCTACATTGTAACTCCAAAACCTTGGGGTCATATGTTTCTGTTCCTTGACTTCTTAACCTGTTTTTCCTGAGTTGTATCTCAACAACTTAAAAAAAATTCAGAAGTTTATCCAAAGCCTTTCTTCTTCCTAGACACACTCTCCAGATGTGTTTTGAGTAGATTCTTACATTCTTCATAAGTAAACTGAGATTCCAAAGTCCATGTTTCTAAAATTTTGTAAAACTGAACATCTGAAAAGTGATAACTTCCAGATTTTTCTTCTACAATATCTCTCTGCATTTTGTTCAACCTTCTTGCCATCCTGCTCCCACTGTTTAAACCCTTCTGATTTTTATTCTAGAATTTTCTCACATCCTAGGATCATATTTTCATTCAAGACATCTAATGTCCTTGGATATTTTATTCCATATTGCTCCTAAAACAAATACTTCAACAAAAAATTCATTTCTGTTTATTTTATTTTGATAACCTATGTTAAGTTATCAGTAAATCTGATTGAGGACCTGCATTGACGAAGATGAGATCACATCATTTGATACCAAAACCAAGAATTACTCAAAGTACAAAACAGACCCTACCTAACAAAAAAATCTTTATTGTATTGAACACACTTTTATGGCTGCTTCATAAACATGTGGTTCAGAGCCAAAAATCAGGGTTTTTGCAATTTACTGTGGAGGAATGTAGGGGAAAAGGAGACAAAGTGATGCAACAAAGCCAAAAACAGGCTCTAAATTTTTTTTCTCAGCCCTTAATAGTAAATGGCATTTAACTTTCTTCTAGAAGTTTGATTTGTAATAATATCTAATTTAATAGAGTAATTTAAATACATCTTTCTAAAAGGATACCTCAGGGACAGCTTAGAAGTGTAAAAACTACAACTACGGACACTGATTGGTTTGGAAACTTTCCAGGTGTGATATGCACAAAGTAATACTATTTCAGAAAAGTCAGAATTTCCTACTCAAAACAAAAAATGAAAATAATTTAAAACAAACAACTTTCTAAATAATTGTGCAAAAATCATTATATATTCATTACTTTTCCACTTCATGAAGCAAAATCACAAGTTGATGTGATTTTTCTTCAACAAGTTGAAGACAAAAGCTACCAACAATGCATAAAATGTAATGGAAAAACGTTTTGAAGTACCGTAAGCAACTCCAAGCAACATGTGCAATTAAATACTGCTCTTGCATATTTACAACATGTTTGCACAGCAATATTTAATATATTTATAATATTTAATATAGTATTCAGAAAATTACTTACAAGGGCAGAAGAGTACAACAATACTGACTTTTTGTCCTGGATCAAGAAATCCAGTGTGAAGACTAAATTTAAATATACCATCTTCCGTATTTTTGCCTGCATCATCACAATTCAATTTCCATGACAATCGCTGCCTTGAGATATTCTTCAGGTCAAGCTTCTGTAAATATTTGCAAAGGAGTACATGATAAAAGAGCAAAACCAGCAAGCACCATGATACTTTTCACACTGCTCTATCCTAAGCATTCTTTTTGCAATCAGATCAGAGTGAAAGCAAGAAAGCAAGAGAAAGCCACAAAGAACCCAGTTTATTATACCTGTAAGGTGAGAAGATGTGTAGTCTATCAGCACAGACTAGATGCTTTCCAGTCACCACATTCAAAAAGCAATACTTTCTTTCCTGAATGGATGAATCTCATTTATGCAAAGTAAATAGATAGAAGCATCACGGTAGGAGTGCTTAGCCAAACTGAAATTAGGAGGTTTTTGTGATACAACTGAAGCACCAGACAAATGGCTCATGACTTCTAGACTTACAGTTGGATATATTGAAAAAGCAAGAAGTTCAGAATAGGTTTTCAAAACCCATTTTTATCAATTCAATAAGACAACAGTGGAAACAAGACCAAAAAAATATTCCTTGATCTCAGAGTTACTCTTTCAACTCCTAACACATCAGTAGCTAGGAAAAGGTTTTGGCTTTGTATTATCACTGTTTTCTGCAGATTCTTGAAAGAGTTTCAAGTGTTTTCATCATTGCCAAAAATATTTTCTTCTAATTTCCAAAGCTTTTGATAATTAGAAACAATAAATTACATTATGCTATGTTTTGCATTCATATGATCAAATTCTCTAAGTTCCAAAACAGAATGGCTGTGGCCAAATATCCTGTTTAGTGCCTCTTTCTCATTTAAATCATGACCAGGATTTTTTTGGGAGAATGCCAGTTGGCACAGATCAGTACCATACAACATACTGAGACAGCAATTTAACTGTACAGACAATCATGGCACATCGATTGCATTCCTAATGTCACTATCTAGTCTGCTAGCATAGGCAGAGGCAGGAAATCTTTGGCAGTAAGTTATTTCTTACACAATTCATGGTCAGTTTCTCATAGTGCCCACACTTTCTCATATATCAGAAAGTCATGACAAGCCCAATTTTCAGTTTTGGAAAAATTTCTAGCAATCAAAAGACAAATATAAAATAAAAAACTGAACAAAATGACAATGGGAAAACTTTAAAATATTTATATTTGGAACATGACTGAATTTTGAGTCCCAAATTTGTATTCTTTTCCTTGTCATTTTTTGAGTAATTAAAAGCAATAGCCAAGAATAACTACAAAAACACTTGTGATTACGTACCTGAGAATTCAGACTTTCATCAGCAACACTGAAACGTATGCTGCTTGAATGTTGTGAAAATTTAAGTTCCATTGAGGAGAATTCCAATGGTGATTTAAGTACTGTTTACAAAAAAAAAACCCAAAACATTTAAGATGTTTATACAGTACTGACAAATATTTCCTCAAAGTCCCTTCATAAAATCATCCTTTCTGTATATGTTTAGCAGAAATGTTTTTCCCTTTGTTTTAAAGCTGTATTTTCTTTCTGTTGTTGCCATACTATATACATAATTACTATAATTCTCTTACTATGACCCTTTAGTCAAAATTATTTTATCTATCAGATTTATAACATCTCTTCTTCATATCAAGATGCTGTAAACAGAGACCCTCACGATCTTCCTATTGCAGAAAAATGTATTTAACATTTCTGACAGTAATCATCAGAGAAGACTTGAATTATCTTATTAAAAACATTTATCTTAATTTCATAGAGTTGAACAAAGAAGAAGTCCCACAGGATGAAGTTTAAAGCAAGGATTTAGAAAAAAAACAAGGGTATATGTTCCTACAGTCTCATTTTAGTTCTTGATTAAACACTGGAAATGAACCTATCCAGCATACAGTATCCTTTTACTAAAATCTGCAAGTTTGTTTCACACTCAGTAAGGAAGTGTGTTGATCAGTTCCCTTCTCACCCTAAAAAGCCCAAAGGATTTCCTAATCACATAGCTCACATTACGTAAACAGTACTATCCTTATTTCTCTAAAGCACAAGCACATAAACTCTAATTTTTTTCAAAGCAGGAACCTAATCTGCTGGAATGCTTTCACCAATATGCAACTATGACACTCATGAAGTCTTTACCTCTCATAGAAACTGCCTATACAAGGAAAACACAGCATGATTGAAAGACTAGGAAGGAAGGGAAAGGAAAGGAAATTATCTAACCTGTGAAAAAAATTGAGACTTATTATTAAAAAAAACAATAATAAGCTGACATGATGCATTACATTGATAATATATCCACTTCCTTTGCGTTTGGATGAGGTAGGTCTTGTGTCTTTTCCAGCTGAGTTTTCTGGTTTGGGGTTTTTTCCCTTTCAGTGCTTTCTTACACACCAACAAGCAGTCTCCAAGAGAAAAGTCTTACAAGTTATTAAGAGACCTGCTTTACTTCCCAGGTGCTGAAACAGTCTACAAACTTTGTCTTAAACTAAATTTAAAAAAAATTCATGATGGATTGAAAACATATTGACTACGCTGAAGTTAAAAGACTGGGCTGACTACTCCAAGATTATTGCAATTCTTTTCTCAGGATGAGTAATCCTAAGTACAAATATCAGATATAACCTATTGTTTTAAATCCCAGCTACATTGTCCTGTGCAGTCTAAATCCAAATCAACCAAAAAAAGTGTCACAGGGAAGAAAAATGTATTATAAGAGTGGAAAACAAATTTGCCATAGACCACACAGTAGTAAGAATTAGGGATACTTGTCAAAGAGGCATCTTACTCACTTTAGTTTTGAAAATGATCATCTGAAATTATGAATCAATAAATGACATAATTTTTAAGTTCTCAGAATGTAATGAAGTTATCAAGTTCTTTTTTTTAGCAGTAAAAATAATTTGGCTAGTTGTCTACATCTGTATGATTATGGGAAATACTGAGCAGTCAAGAAATTTATTTAGATTTCTCTCCCTCCTTCCAGCCCATCAAAATTCCCAATAAGAAAGTAATTCCAAAAGTCAAATTTAAACAGAAGTCACAATTTACTTTTTTTTAACTATTTCTTAGAACTGAAAGTATTATATACTCACTTTAATACTATGGTAACTTGTTACTGGCCTATACTACTACTTCAAAGAAATTCTATGCAGCAGAAGTACAAATTTGTGGAAAAAATTTGGATCAGATTATCATTTATTAGTGAGACTTTCTGATTGTATTGACTCATTATTCCACAAAGAAAGGGAAAAGGAAATAAACATTTTCTTTATTATTCAGGCCGCAGAAAACAAACCTCCACTAGAAATTAGTCATTTTGATTCATGATTTTTACTTAGAGATGTGCTTCCTAACAATCTCATATACATATCTACATTTATCTTTATTCTACATGTTGTTAAACTAAATATATTTAGAAATATTTAATATTCATTTACTTCCAACATAGGATCTAAAGAAGGTCTCTCAAATTTATTTGAGATCTTAAAGGATCTCAAAAGTATGACTTAAATTAAAGCCAAAAAAATAACCCCACAAAAAAACCCAACAAACATTCATAAAGCCCAATAAATTGAAGCTGCTTTTACCCCATGTTATGCATTTAATTGGGCCAGCCTCCTCCATTGCTCCCAAGATGTTTAAACACTACACAAACATCATTCCAGGAAGATGCTCAGCACTTAAGTCTTATCTCAAATAAACAGTGATTACATATTAGAAACTGAGATGAGGAAAGCTAATGGATTTAAGTATTCATGATGTGTAGGTCTACAAGACTATAAGGATCAGACAGGAGACTAAAGAGAATCACAAATTATTTTTAAGAAAAACGAAGAAGAATAATTTAAGATACCAATTTCCTGTTGCAGGCAAACAGCCTGTAACTTCAGCCATTAACAAACACTGACAGGCCAGAAGAGTGCAGATTTGTACATAAAATCGAACAGAGGCAAATAGACTAAATTGCCACCAGCTCTTCCGGATGGAATCAGGGCCAGTCAAACATTTTGAAGGAATTTTAAACATAGCTAGAGCTCCTAGCCTTGATAGGATAAGATTATATACCAGGATGATGGGATAACAAGTTTTGGTAAACTAATTTTTATATAAGTCAAATTGTTACAGAAAAAAACATATTTTCCCAGCATGTCATAATTATGTATAGAAAGCTCATCTTTATGTATATTTAAAAATACAAAGTTTGAAAATTTTGCAAGTTTCCAATAAATTTACAAACTATACAGTTAGCAGTAAAATTTCAGTTAAGTAGTAATTCTCTGCAATTGGAATACAAGCAAAAACATAACTACAAATACAAGTATCCACCATCTGCTTAAGTCCCCAGTTTACCTACCGACTGCTTTAACTCTACAGAATGGAACAGCCACAGTCACCACCTGTGGCAGAGGAGCAAGGATGTGCTTTCCAGATCGAATAGAAGTTGTAGACGCAGAGCTGGGCTGTGGCAATGGGGAGTGAGCCCGAGGAATATTAACTGGAAGAGTGAAGTCATATGCTGCCACCTAAAGGACAAAAGTATCATTATGGTCACTTTCCCAATGAAATTGTAGGTACTTCTTGAACCACAGGAGTGGCATTACGATTTCAGAAGTATTATTGAAATTCACTTATTACTTGATCATGATATTAACAGGACGGTTGTTTATAAGCACCCAGTATCAGCCCTTTAAGTAAGCAGTAGTCAGGGGATTTTTCACCAACAAAGAAAAAAATCTGTATGCTCAAACGTATCAGGGTTATTAGCACAGCTACAGACAAGGCTTCTGCTAAATCACTGTGGTGCGTTTCTCTCCTGAGTGAAAAAAAAATGGAGCAGTGGCCCAAGAGCCTAAGCGTGAGCAAAGGGGGGGAAAACAAAGCCATGTAAGTTAAGTAAGTCTTTCTCAAACTTAGAAAAGGTCAGCTGTTACAGTATACCCAGCATAAACAAAACAGGCTCCAAAATCAAGGTGGAGCATGAGTTTAAAAATTGAGAAACCTCAGAAGAAAAAGGAAAGAAAAAAACCACACCAAACAAGCAAACAAAAAGCAAACAAAAACAAACAAAACAAAACAGACAAAACACCAAAAAACCCAGAACACCCTCCCAAAGCCTTCATCACTGAACAGCACTGAATTACAGGAGACCAACTTCCAGTGACTTTGATCCTAGCTTTCTCTCTGAAATCACATCCCCAAATAAGTGGTGTTTGGAATTTAAAAGACAGCATGTTTTATACAAAATTGTCTTTTTTGACAGACTGTGCACTTGAGAGGCCAAATTTATTTCACAGTGTACTTTCAAGGATGCATTTTCTGCCTCTGACTCTATCTTTCCAAGGAGTAACACACTAGAGCAGTACGTCGTCCAGACAAAAACGTATGGATAACTCTGGCCTATAAAATCTGCATGCTGCTTGAAATTTGCAGTAAAACCAGCTATATAAAGTTATGAATCACTTAAAAGCTTTCAAAAACTGCAGAAAAAAGTGCATCATGCTTCACTTTCACATATGCAGTAGCAAATAGAATATATAAACGACAGAAAAGGAAAAAAAATTGTCCTAAGCCAGGACACGAGGCACATCTCTATCCGTAACAGAATCAGCACTCAGTGTTTGGTGTTCCAGCAGGGTTTGTAACATGCAGTTTTGAACTCCTGGTGAGTGAGTTGTGTGCTGAGCCTTCTGGAACATTTTGTGTGTTTGTTCTTAGCAAGAGGAAAGCACAGGATAAGGGGAAGTCTTTTTAGCAAGATCACCAGTCTCTTGTTTTATGTTAATACTTGAAATTTGATAATGAATTGATTTTATAACATAAAATTGGCTTTTCAAACTTAAAATGGAGAATGCCGTTCAAGGTTTTTTTAGTATCTAATGCTTGAGATGTGTCATAAACAAATATGGAGTAAAAGTCTCCCAATATGCTATGATTTACATACTCTTGTATTTTTAGCATCTCAAGTCACCCACTAAAATATTTCACCAAGTTAGATCTTCGAAATATGCTCCTGTGGCATAAAACCACATAATTCAAAATTAGACTGAAAAGGATCTTTTCTTCAAAGTGTGAGAAGTTCCTTTCACTTCAAAGTAGTGTGAAATACATGATTTCACGTCACCAACAGTGGCTTCTTACAGCTTCAAACAACTGACTATTTTTTCTTACAGTTGAAATAAGCATTGTATTTCAAGGCTGTGAAATCCATTAAAAACAAACCTTTTAAAATGTTTTGCAATAACATAAGAGAAGGTTGATACAAAAGAGTGGAACACATCGTACAGCTGTTAAAATATATATGTAAGAGAGAACAGTAAAGTGAACCAATATCAGAAAGAGAGGGAGAGAGACATAAAAAAATAATACAGGACTCTCTAGATCAAGAATCTCCTACAACCATCACAACACAGACACAGTCTGAAGAGTCTGTCACACTCCTTTGGCTGTACAAGAAGTCTGTTATATTGGGTGTAGTGCATCCAGCACACATCTTGAGAAGTGTAAAATGCTGTATAAATAAACAACTTATCTCCCAAGGATTTTGAGTCACTGTAAGGAGAACAGGGAGAAAATGACTGCACATCTCAGGTTCTGAGATTCCTCCCAGCTTTGGCAGCACCCTATAGCAGGCAGGTACTTTCCTACATGGGCAACTCTAACACTTGAAACACCATTGCCAAGAACTGCAATAAAAAAGTGAGCTAGAAAATCCTTTTGTGTATATATCTCCTGACATATATAACACTATAATGACACTAAGTCTTCACGGGTTTTTTTTAAAGAGAACAAGCCTTACGAGGAGCAGCTGAGGGAAGTAGGATTGTTAAGTCTGGAGAAGAGGAGGCTTAAGGGAGACCTTATTGCTCCTGACAACGACAGGAAAGGAGGTTGTAGTGAAGTGGATGTTGGTTTCTTCTCCCAAGTAACAAGCGATATGAGAGGAAATGGCCTCAAGTTGCATCATGGGAGGTTTAAATCAGATATTAGGAAAAATTTCATTACTGAAAGAATGGTCAAGCACTGGAACAGGCTGCCCAGGAAAGTAGTGGAGTCACCATCCCTGGAGATGTTCAAAAACCACGGGGATGTGGCACTTCGGGACATGTTTCAGTGGGCATGGTGGTGCTGGGTTGACAACTGGACCTGATGATCTTAGAGGTCTTTTCCAACCTTAATGATTCTATATGTATATGATTCTAAGATTAAAATGCTTAGTCTATAATAGCTACCATTACATCACTGGCTATGCGAGAGATTATGGTCTAGCACTGCAATTGCTCTTCATGAGTGCTGTTATGTTTAGTATGTTTAGGTGAGACAATAAAAGGTGGAACCCCTTTCTCCTTCTCCCAGAGCAGCTATTCAAAATTTGTCTTTCATCTCCACTATCAGGATAAATTTGCTTAGTCTTACTATGCAATAAGGGATTTATTTGCTAAGAATTGGCAAACAAAGCCAAGTATGTGCAAGACACTCAATTCACTATGTGCCACACAAGAAGTTCACTGAATACCTACATTTGCTTTGAAGTACAATGGTGCAAATTCAGAGCCAACATAACTCACAGGATTGTATTTATATAATTGAGAATTAATCATAGACATTCATACATATCTTTGCCTCATCAATTGCACATTAACTAACCTGTAATACAAATGAAAAGTTATTTAAAAATTCTATATACCTAGATAACCTATTACAATTCACACACAAACATGCATACATACAGACAAACATACATACACATATTACTGAAACGGAGTTAAAACTTAGTTTCATTTTCTTTAGGACTTCAGTTCACAAGTAGAGGCATTATTTTTCTTTTATACGTATTTTAAGAAAAAAAATAATTTGTTTTTAAACTCTAAAACTCCATATTGGAAAATTCTCTCTTGTAACATTACATACTCAAAAAAGTAATGATAATATTAAAAAAAATCCTCATGCTATTATTGGACTTGCAGTTGCTTTTTACATGATTCATTAATACTTTACAGTTATTTATCTATTGAGATATTTTTCTGAATCTGCATTTAAGAGATAAAAATGTAAGAATACAGGAAGGGACAGAAAGCAAGCAGCCTAGAGAGAGTTCTTTCGAAAACATTCAAGGTTGTTTATATCATTACAAGCAATATTTTTGCAGTCTTGATTTACACTAATTGGAAAAGAAGCATCATCATCAAAGTGGTTTTCTTAAAAACACTTGAAGTTTAAAAAAATTAGGAGTAAAATACTTCAAAAGAAGCTTTAAAAAGATGAGTCATGTGCGACAATGGAGCTTTTTGTTATGCATTCACAGAGAACACCTCCAAAGGAAGCCAGGAAAGGACATGCTTCTGGAGGCTGTCACCAGAAGATAACAATTCTTTAAATAAAACCAATATTCCTGCAAACTTTTATTTAGAAGGCATTTTAAAACACCTTCCAATTTTTTTGCTGGAACTGCTAAACAAGTTTGTCGATTTTAAGAAATCTGTCTGATCAAGAAAGCTCTGCTGCTAAAACTCATTTGAGTCTATGAAATAGGTTTGATACAAAGTACACAGTTGCTCTAAGCCCAACCTTGGAGAGTGAACATAGTTGAATGGCTTCCTGTCTCAGGCTTAAGTAGTCAGTATAATTAAACAAACAAAAGGGGGAACAAGTAGCCAGCATCCATGACAATTAAAATGGTATTTTATATAAAATTCATGCATAAAATCAAATTCAAGCACAGTTGTCAGGTTGGGGGGGGGGGGAATCTGAGAGTACAAAAAAATTAAGTTATTTTCAAAAAACATTTTCAAAGCAGTTACTTCATTTCTATCTTTACTAAGTACCTCAATGAAATAATATATTTTATACTTTATAAAATATATTTTGTTAATTACTATTGTAATACAGCATATGTCCTCAAGGTCAAATAGAAATTTTGCTGCCAAATCCAAGAATCATATAGTTTACTTGGCACAAAGAATATGTAAGATCTCCCTAAAATTACAGTACTTGCATACACACTACAGATTCACAGGGAATTGCAAGTAAATCAGCAAGCTAATCTATTACTTAAAATTAAATCAAAACATCTGTAAAGGATAATAGTCTTGTATTTATCATATAATAACTTGCAGACTCTTCAAATATCTTGAAGCATTAAAAGTCATTGAATTTTTGTGATTTTAAAGTTTATGGATAGCACTAACAACATACAGATTCAGCAGTGATACAAGGAAAGAAAATGTAATGTACATTTTAAAAAATAAGTTTTATTCAAATTTAAACCTAACTGCAAAACCAAGGGTTACGTTCTGCAACTGTATACAATACACATTCTCAACCTCCCCTCAGATTTAACATGAGCTTAAATGCTTAAAATACTTAAAACTTTCAGCCTAAATTCCCCAGCTTTATATCACAGATAAGCAGCTTTCCGCAATGAATAATGTAACTAGCGTTCAAAGCCATCATTCAAAACACTGAAATAAAACTAAATCTTTCTCTTGTACACGGCCAGAGATGATGCACCAGCAATACACTGTAATTCCACAGCTGCCGTGTTCCATAGAATTCATTTCTTACACCATGAATTCTGTTCTTTCATATAAAAAAAAGAAATTACATCATTAGAATTGCCAAAAAACCCACCAAAACCACCTGTCACTTCTCTTCAAAAAGCTTAAGCAGTAAGCTCTGACAGGTGTGACTTGCTCTATTTATCTCAATCAAAGGCACTCAGAGCCTTCATTTATTACACAGCTGTGTGTTTTGTCCATTTTCCAAGATGCCAGAATTTGTTATTTTCCAGCAGGATAAAAAAAAAAAAAAGGTCATTTTGAAGCAGTACACTCCTGCACCTTGTTTCGCCTGCTTTTCTTACCACACCATGCATGACACTGCTGCTAGCAGCTGGATCCTCCTGCCTGGAGAAACACAGGAATAGTTGAGGAATGAAGATGAGCAAATATTTAAAGTGACCATATGCTGCCTGTTTCTCTGTCACAAAATTAAAGGAATTAGGTGTCCCTCGCTGTTACCTGCACAAGTAACCTGCAGAAAGGGAGCTGCTCTACTTTTCAGACAGTACAATTTAAAACTCAGTTAAAAAATACTCACTGCTAGCAATCAATCAATAAATAATATTATTAGTAATAATTCTTAGCTCTGTCTCTGGATAGGGATCAGGAAGCTATAACAGACATTTGGCCAGATAGTCATGGTTTTCTTTCTTTTTTTTTGTTTGTTTGGGTTTTTTTTTTTAATTGCCAGAAAAAATTTCTATTCATCCCCGAAATGAGAACCCTGCCTAGTCCGTCAGACATTCAGCTGGCTAAGCCTCTTTATACTGCAGTGAAAAAAAAAGCTATCTAAGATGTAGTTGAAGTGTCTCTGAATTAAAATTAATGCAGAAAAGAAAGCAGCATACAGCCTGTATACAAATATGATATTAAGAAGTATTTGCTAGCTTACCTATTTATATGTATTTTTGTATCCTGCTCTCACTTACAGCTTTGACTTCCACAGCCAACACCAAGGTTAAGCTCTCTCCAGTGAGGCAGAGCCCTGTCACCTCTAACACTTTCTGAGACACTTGAATAACAGAAAGGCACAGCCAGGCCATGTCCAAGAAGCATCTTAGTCTTATCCATAATGCATCAACTTCATTTTACCACTTAGAATACTGGAAGGATTATCTCAAAAAAACCCAAATATTATTTTATAAGCATGCCTATATACTTCATCTCTAAGAGCATCCTTTGATGTCACATGTGTTTTGCACACACTAAGTTTTCATGAGAATTGCAGGAACTAGTCAGAGTTCCCATGTATTTACTTCGTTCGTTGATTTGAAGTTTCTTGAGGCAGAAAGAAAACTAATGCCAAGCTGATTTTCACCAGGAGAATTCAAGATTGCAGTCAAGACTAAATGACTTGAAACCTTACATTAATAATTCAAGTAGGTTTAATAAAATTTTAAAGCATATTACAATAATTTCATGCATTCGTTATTTTTATTCAACACTTCTGAATTACTTTAATTTTTACTTAGCTCTAGAATCTACTTTCTTAGCAATAACATCAATATAGTGGGCTTTTGTTGGTTTATAGGGTAGTGTTGTCAGTAATGACTACAACAACAGCAGGAAGTTTTAGTAGAACCAGAAGGCTGACAGAAAAGAAAGTGACTCGATGGGATACAGAAGGTTTGTAGCAGCTGGGAGGTAAGCTGGGTAAGAGCAGTTGTCCAGAAAATGGTGATGAGATCAGAGAAACAGCTGTTCAAGTGCAGATTAGAGTTTTTTCAAGACTGGAAAATCAGGAAACAGAAGGAAGAAACCTAGTGAGAAAAGGGGGAAATCTAGATGAGGTAGAATGATAAAGAACTCAGATCTGAAGGGGAATGTTTTAAGAATCAGTAACTACTGAGAGCTTCTGATCACAACAGATGCTTGTACCTGGACCACTTTCTTAGCAGAACTATGATTTTTATTAGTATTCTACTTTGCAGGAGTTAAATTAAAGGGAAGCTACAGCATCCTGGGGGGTACATATACTTCCAGATGCTTCCTTTAGTCACACCATACTGGGCAACATATTTAGTTTTCAAAATTAACTTCATTTAACATTAGTCAGTGCTATTGCTACCAGCTATCAGTGCTGTATTAACTCTCAGTGACATTAACTTGTGACCACCAGTGGGTTGCAAGTTGTATTTGGGCATGTATTGCCTAGCAATAACCAAGCTGCCCCTTGACAGGCAGGCAGTAATACACTTGGAACAGAAAAAAAGCACTGGTCGTAAAGTGAGCTTACCTAGCACCAAGGGAAAAGGGAGCCTGTGGAGAGAAGGGGAAACTGAAATAAAGACATTTCATTAAAGCTGCACTTAACTAGTTGGTTATGAGGTATGAGGTGCCCCAGGAAAATGTCCTTCTTGAAGTTATTTATTCCCTTACTTCTGAAGGAAGTTGTTTCATTTGCCAAAAATTATTCTCAAGACTGGAAAAACACTTAGACCCAGAGTTTGAAAAATTAATAAAGGATTATGCTAGAAAACCCTATAGAGAAATCTGTTGTCAACAGATGCAATATATTCTACAGATATTTTTTTAGGAGAAGTCATAAAACAGATCCAGTCGAATGTAAGAATTATTTTTCAAAATTCCTATCATAATTAAAGCAGACTGTCTTCAGTTAGGTTGTCATACTACCAGTATCAAATGACAGTTGGAGATGCTCATCAATAACAAACATTAGTACTGAACAGTCATTCAGATGACAAGTGAAATTAAACATAGAGAACAATCTGCTGTTTCAGCAGTGCAGAAATATTAATTCAGTTAATCACTTGAACTTACAGCAGCGTCAGTAGCAACATTTCTACTCTTAATCCATCCTGCAACTTGACAAGGAAAGAAAATAGTAATAAAGCTCAATTATAACAATGGGAAATAGAGTACTGGGAGGCAAACAAAATCCCTGTTTTGATAGTTGGGGGTGGGGACATTTAGGATTTTAGAGAGTTAATATTTCACTTGTCTGTAAGGGGACAACTGACCTTCCACTATGCTATTTTCCACTACAGTGGAGAAAAAAGGATCACTTTGTACAGCAGCATTATCATCAGAGAAATCCAATGCCATAAACAAGAACAGAGCTATCGGATTTCAGGTTATGCCTTCGATCAATATGTATGTGGTTTAGATCTTATATGCAACTGTGTGCTTTTAGCTAACGAGATCAAATAAAATAAAATTATATCTACAGTCTAGATCAGAAATACCTCTGTTAAATATTTGACAAGGCTTAAGTAAAATTGTTTTATGAAAATAAATTGAAATTGAGGCCTTGGAAATTAAACTATTGTTACCTGTTAAATTTTATATGTAGTATGCAACCTTGTATCATCCATAGAACAATATTTCTAGGCCTTATTTATCATGTTTAAATCAGTACAATTGTGGCATTCTATTTTATAGCAATTCTAACTAAATTTTCTCTATAAATGCTAAAGCAAAAACAAAAAAAAGGTAAAAAAATTAACCACTAGCTTAACCAAGCTAAAGTATTAGTTGTACCACCATTACCATTCCCAGCTCATCCAAAACCAGAGCAAACTCCTCAAAAGTAAGTACATTCTATTCCAAAGTAATCAGAGGATACAAAACAAAAAACCAGAAAAAATGGAAACTTGGGAGATTCGGAGAGTTCTTGCAGAAAGGCATTACAATTTTAGCAACCAATTGCTTTCTCTGTTAGGTGCTGTATCTACAGTTCGCTAGAAGCTAGCTGGCAGTTCGAAAGCAACATCTTGTTTCTCATTTCTATTGACAATCTTTATTTAGAAGAAAAAAAATTAAAATGTTTTTGAATACTTATGTCTTTAAGCTGAAAAATGTTCTTTAAGAGAATGCAGGTTGCTTTCATAAATGAAATATGCATCTCAGGACTTTACTGGTAAAATAAAGTTCAAAACTAATTAAGTTTTGAAACTGGGCTGTAAGAACAGTAATAATATATACCTACTTATTTAAGTTCAGTCAATCTTTTCTCCATTTTTGTTTGACACGGCTCTGCACTATTTTATGTACTTCCTTTTATTTATAAGGGAAGCTAGCCTTTCCACATTCCAAGTTCATCATTTTAAGCCAAAAAAATCAATATTCCTTTGCATTAATTATCGTTCACACTTAGCAAGAGACTAAAAAGTCACTTTATAGTGACAGCCACTTTATACAGACAGCCACTAAAAAGTACTATTATAATTAATAAGAGTCTTAACACTGGCCCTAGACTTAACACTGGGGATAGAATTTCTTTTTGGGAGCAATGACATGCTGTCAGGATATGATTTTATATTGCATAAATGTGATTGTCTGACAGATTACTCATCCCTTTTGGACAAAGTGAAGCATTTCTGGTGATGCTTGTCCAACACCTTCTTACAAGTCTTCAATAATGGAGATAGCTTCTCAAGTAATTTATTCCAATATTTGACTCTTTTTGCTACAATGAGGTTTTCTATCTATTCTAGTCCATCTGGCATAATTTAAACCCCCTACTCATTACCTGTCTATTGTATGGAACAAGCACATATAAATTCTCTTGCACAGAATATCAGAAGTTGGTTGGTTTTTTTCCTTTTCACAGTTTGTACTTTCTGTATTTCTGATCATTTCCATTGCTTTCTTTTGCACTTCCTTTCCAAAGAAAATTTTCCCCCTTCTTTCTTTAAGTGTGCCCTCCCAGATTGGAAAAGTGTTTCAGCTGAAGTGTTATCAGCACTGATTAGAGTAATTATTTTACTTGTTTATTAACATTATTCATATTTATACAAAATCAGTATGTTGACTGACTCTATTCTTAGTTCTTGTTCAGCCTGCGATCTACAATACCATACAATGAGATGACTCCAACAGCATTATCTAGTCTTGCATTTCTATTATTGACCCTTCTCACCTAAATGAAAATGTCAGCATATATTCTGAATTCATTTCCAGTTTGACAATAGGTCAATGGTGATGTACTGTATGTACCATTTTGTAATTACACACTTTCCTAATGCTGTATCTAGTCTAAATCTGACTACTTTGTTTAAGATATGTTGCATCAGACAGCGCCAAGATAAAGATATGACATCTACTGCTTCTCCCCTAACCTCGAGGCCTGCTATGTTATAAAAGGAAATTAATTTGGTTTGAAATAGCTCATTTTTAATGTATGTATTGACTCATGTTCTGTCAGGAAAAATTAGTAGTGAACGTGCTATAAATTCACACCATCGGTTATTTCACAATAGCTTCCATGTATACACAGAATGAAAGCTGACAGCAAGTAGAAGAAGAAAATAACAGTGTTACCAGATACAGTGTGTAACATGCAAATATCACTGGCATGATGCTTTGAACAAAGGAATTCCCTTTTATTCAAAAACTAAAGTGCTGGGAAGGAGGAAGGTGGCAGCAAAAAAATACTATTTCTGACCCTTCCAAGATGACTGATATGCCTTTTTTTTGTTTGGTTGGGTTTTTTTAGGTAAATGCAGCTAATGCAACAGGTTTATGTGCCATAGAAGTGGTCCCCAGCTGCTTCTTCTGAAGTTGGCTCATAATATCAAACACTAAGTTTTCTTTCAGTTCATTCTTCTCCAAATACGTGGAAACCCCAAACCCTCCATTTCTAGAGTGCTGTTCAATTACTATAGTGTTCTTTATCGATACTACAGTTAATAAAATGCTATTTTCCTGTTGTAAAATTAACCCATAAAGTCTCATATCTTCAATCTATTACCCTCAAATAGTTCAATCCAAAAGCAACTTTGCCAATCCTTATGACACATAAAACTCCTCTACTTTTGCAGTTTCTCAGTCATCTGAGAGTAAAAGTACAAACAGCTGAAAAAAGACAATGGCTTCCAGCTTGCTGAATGATTTCATAAATGCACGGTAAGACATTTCAATTTAAGCTTACACCTTTCCCATTTTTAAGTCATTGAGAAAATGTGTTTTCTTTGTGTCTGCAAACATTTAAGGAAATCAGCAAATGCTATACCAAAGTTATTTCAGAACTTGTTTTCTTAAGAATTGGATTACTACTATAAAACTATTGCACACACTAAAACGTGCATCTAAGATGTCCATATTCTTTCAACATAGAAATATCACAGAGCATTATTTTATTTTAGCATAATCACCACTGCCCCATAAACCTACCTCTTTTGGCATGAAGGACAAGAAGCACTGCAAAGCAGACTTTCCCTCTAAGTTAACCGAATACAAATAAGGCTTTGAAGAACAGCAGTCAAGCACTGTCAAATGAAATTCAGAATCAAATTACAAATATTACACTAAATATCAGCTTCGTAATAGTTGCAGTACTTCAAAGTGATTTCCGACATAAGGTACTTACATATCTGTATGGTAAACAGTACTCACAAAATTACAAATGAATATGATATTTCTCATAATTATTCTAGAGGTAGTTTTGAGAAGTGTTAACAACCAGCAGCTTCCATTAAAGTCACTGATTTGGGGGAACACAATATTTCAGAAAAAAAAACCAAAACCAAAACACAAATAAAACAAAAACAAAACAAAACCAAACAAAACCCCACACCATCAAACAGCTACTGTCATTTACCTTTGAACAAAAGCATTAGGCAAAAATAGTTAACTAAACAATGAAAACTAATATCACGGGGAGAAAAACAGTTGGCTGAAACTGTTTTACAAAATTATTTTTAATCTAAACTAATGATTTAATTTACACAATTAAATTAAATTGTAGTGATTTAATCTACAAGCTTTTTTGGCTTTGTTTGTTTGTTTGTTTGAACATACCTTAGGAACTACAAGGGGAAAAAAAAATTAAAGAGAAAAAAGTCTCTACAGGCAACTTGACGTTTTCCAAATGCTTACTTTTGGCAAGTGCTATTTTACAGGGAAACCAAAATATATCCTCTTAATTTATATGAAGCAGCACTTTTAAAATAATTGCTTTAGGTTTTCCTAAATCAGAAAATTGGTGTACCAGAAAGTCTGACAGTTTTTCTCTAGGCATTATCCATTATTTACTTAATGAAAATTCTGATATAGAAAAAGCAAATACCTGAGTGGTCATTAACATTCAATTTAAAATCCTTATACTTAGAAAAATCAAACTCCACTCTGGTACATGCTTGTCCTTTGTTCTGCAGCAAAAATGGAATTGATTTTGTAGAACCGGCAAAAACACCATCAAAGTCAAATAGTTCCTGTAAGTTTAAAGAAAAACAAATGGGTCAAAGCACTGTGAAGTCAAGTTTATAACTGAACAGATTTGAACAGAATGTGAAAAATGTAACTGTTCAAAAATTCCCAATTTATAACACAATAAATGTCTTGGATTAATCAAGCATAGCCATTTTCTGTAAAATCTTTCCTGGACATAAAATGTAACCATTCAGAATTAAATAGATAAATTCCGTTACATCATCAGGAAATTTTTCATCATTCAGTAAACAGAACAGTGGATTCCTTTTCATTTATTGCACCTTTTTTCTATAACAACCTTAAAGAAATTCTACGTTTTCCAGATTGTCAAATTCAAAATCTAAAGCTATCAGCTATCATTTAGTGCAACTTTTATAAGTATATTTCGTTTTTCTCTTCCTAAGTTCTTCTCTTTGAATGTTTTCTCAGGAAGTTAATACAGGAAGACAATGAAAAATATTAAGTAGGGACAAGCCATTTTGACATCTAGATAAAGTAAAACACTATCCATCTTACCAATTGCTACAATTTCTTCATACTTACCACATCAATGTTTATTTTGGGGATCTCTACAAATCCAGCAATCCTAAGCACTCGTATCCCTGAATTTCGCACTGCTACCTAAATGAATGGACAACAGTGTGATTGTTGACAAGATCAGTTTAACATAACTATCTCACCAAATGTGCCATAACAACATGGAAAAAAAAGTTTAGAAAAAAAAGAAACAAACAACCAACAAAGCCAGACAATCTACCCCACAGATATAGAGTGGAGAGAGACACTCAGCATAATTTGTAACAAAAATAAATCTGCCCTTATAATAGAATGCATTTTTGTTATGGAAATATAAGAAAATGTCTTCAGTTTCTACAAAATTTACCAGATTCCAGTGACATGTGGCTTCAAAGAACTAATCATCCCTCTATGGCTTACCATATCTGGGAGAGTCATAGCCGACAATTACAAAAAAACCCAAAAAATAACAAAAAATCCAACAAAACAAAACAAAACCAAAAAACCCCACCATAACCCAGAAGCCAACAAAGTTTTAGGAAAGACCAGTCTTCTGCAGACAAAAATAACGTTGCAGGAGGCTGTATTGCAAGAATGAAGAGTTTTCTCTATGAAAGATGGGTTTCTCCAGGCTGAACAATTCCAGCTCTCTCAGCCTGTTCTTACAGGAGAGGTGCTCCAGCCCCCTGAATATGTCCATGTGATCTTCTGAAGACAATCACACATTAGTTTCAACAGCTTGCCAATGATATGAATCAGCTCAAACTGTGAAGTTGTTTTGATACTTCAGAGCGGGACAGATACCAAAGTTACAGAATAGGTTATAGCATCTATAAGAAAGCTTTTCTCTTTTATTTCTTTTCTTTTTTTTTCTTAAAAACCATAGAACACTGGAGATAAATTCCAAAAGATGCTTAAATGTACACACATCCCCACACAAAAATACACAACATAACACTCAAAAGACATATTCTTCCAGTTTGGAATACCTCCACTGTTGTAACAAAACTCATCTTTGCATTTGGAGTGAAACAGATTTTGAGATCAGCATGGCCTCCCACAGGTACCACTCCTTCAGAAGGGATAATCACCATTCCAGGGAGTGGGCTTGAATCAAGAACCTTCAAATGCAAACACAAAACATTAAAAATACTGAAAAAGGGGGTAGGGGCATGTTTTGTTGTTTTTTTTAAAATACCAATATATCTATCATGAAGATTTTATATTCCTACAAGGAAAACCTTCACAACATTTAATGCTCACTTGGGCTTAGAAGTTTAGGGCAAAAATCCTGGTAAACAAAATAAAGTAATATATTCCTGAACATGATGACTGTCAGTTTCTACTATGAAATTATTTTTGTACACCAGTTGGAAATTTCATATTCTGGTTTTTGAGTTGTTTTCATGAAGCTGTTAGAATATTCTACAAAGATTTATTTCAGTGACAGATCAATTCATCACTTCTTTTTTGACATTCACAGTAAGACGACAGAACACAGGACCCTAATGCTGTAAAGTTCAGTAATACTACTACAAGCATATATTCACTTTACCCACAATTCGTAAGTACAAAATAGGATTTGTTCTAATGCATTCTTATAATTTATTAAAGTATAGCTACACAAGTGATAATGACCAAGACCAACCAGCCATCTCTTGGCTTAAAAGTAATTATGGAGGCTTAAAAGTCTGGGTATTTATGTTTGTTTGTCTTATTTATTATGCTGATTTTATTCTTTCGGGCCTATTCTCCAGGAGTGTACTAATAACACTTATTATTACAATGCTCAGTTGATAAAGAGAGAGATACAGTACAAATCAAAATAAATTAAAGTTTCTTAGTACAATAGTAATGCAGTAACAAAAAATCTGAGGATTTTAATAAAAGTTATTTTGCTTCACTGAGTATATACATCAAATTATTCTCTGATCAGGAGAACTAATGAGGTTATGTTTTCTACTAATTCATGTATTATGTCTTCACCCACTCTGGCATCCATTTCACCTCTTATCCAATTCCTAATACAGCCTATCTTCCTCTCAGATATTAGTCAAGCAAAGTAATCACATTTGCTGTGACAGGTCTGGGTCTATGCACACATTGACTTGGCACTCAGTATGAATAGCATGACTAGCCAGTTTGCTTTGACTCTCAAAATTTAGTATAAAAACATCCAAGCTGTAACTACTTTTTCATAGGGCACACGAGTTCTCATGGTTCCCCACTGGTTCTCATGAGACTTCCAGAATCTTTTAGATCATTACTACTTTGCTTGCCTGTCGGTCCATCTATCCATCAATCCAAATTTGACAGAGGGACAGAATTCCTATTCATATACATCTTCTTTCTTCAGAAAACTCAGACAATAACTTAATTAGATGCGTATCTTATAACTGAGAATACAAAGCTGTAACATGATCTGATAAAATGAACTCCCTTCTTCCTCCTCACTCCAAGAAATTAAATATGCTAAAACTAATTTTAGCTTACTTGGAAGTATGCATGATTGTCTCCTATGTTTTGAAGGATGGCTATCTTAGAAGTAGGTAAGCCCAGTGGACTATAATTGAAGAGTATCTTCTGTTCCATAAACTGAACTTTAGTAATACCAAGCTACAAAAAAGAACAGAAAACAAGCAAATTAAATATCATATCACGAAGTACAAATAAATAATTCAGCCTAGTTTTCTTTTCGTTACTTGTGAAAATGCATAAATTAGACATATTCAGATAGAGAAACACAGCTTAAATGTGAGATAAGATTTACTCAATTTATTTTAGTCATCTATATTCAAAGCTAAAAGATGCAAACTTAGATATTTCTGGGCTAATTTTAAGACAAATACAAATATTTTAACTAAATTTAATTTAGCAGCATAAGCTCCATCATTTTTTTTTATCCTAAATGTGTGGAAGGACAAGATACTTCAGAGATTTTAATAGCAGTAGAAATACTAATATTCTAATTTACACACATCCTGGTTAACATATGGCAATTTTCAAGGCTTCAAAACAAGAGGGAGAAAAGAAAAAAAGCTACTAGGGACTAAACATAAAAGAGAAAGCAGGTACATCAAAAGGAAGGGAAAAGCTTTCTTGGCTCCTAAAATGGAAGTTCTAGAGCATGCAGCCAGTAGAATACAGTTAAAAAAAAGTCTGTCTCCTTGTCTCCTTCACACTCCTTGGCATGTAACTTAAGATAACAAATGATTAACCTAAGCTGAATTTCACTGTTTACAAGACTATCCAGAATGTTGCTTTCAAATTATCAGATATCACGTTGAAATAACAACACAAAATTACATTACAGCCTGAAGCTCTGAAACGTAGCTTCCCACACACACCTTGATTTTTATCCATTTAATATCCATCTAAAGAACTACCAGACCACCTCTCAACCTTTGTTTTGTTAAACTAATTGAGCCAAGAAGAACAATTATCACCTAGAATATAAGGACCACTAAGCTGCGGTATCAAAGGAAGTACATCATTGAAAGCAAGAAAAAGGCAAAATGCCTTTGTCTTGCCTTCTCTATCTTTGCTTTAGAGTGATATTCTTTTGTTAAACATGTCAAATAGAAGCCATATGAAATTAATTTTTTGAATACATGACAATAGAAATATATTTAAGAATCTGCTTGTGTTTAAAAAACTCACACATTTTGCTTCTCTAAATCTGCTGTATGAATCGTTACCTTTGCAAAACATTTCAGCTTAATTGTGTTTCCTTTATGCACACGCAAGTAGAATTCTCCTGCTTCTGGAGAGCCAAACCCTGGATGCCAAACGACTTCACACTCCAGATCTCTGTAGCCCTCCAGAAGGCCTAAATAAATGTGCATAATTTACACATTATAGCATATACATGTACAATTACCAAATTACATTGTATAATTAAGAATAACATAAGCACATTAAAGTGAAATGGCCTTCTACTACTGAAGATTAAGCCTGCATTTCAAAGGTGTTGAATAGTATGCTGAACTAAGTAAAATTAGTATCTGAATTCTCATGACAATTGCATAATCTGTTTATTAGCATCCTGCAGTAAAACACACTCAAAGTTCACTGGTATTTTTTAGCTGTTAATTACTCAAATAGCCTTCTCATAGAATAACAACTTTGGGAAAGCCCATATACATTTTCTTGCTTGCAACCAAGTCTGAAATCATATCAGCAGAAATATCTTTTCTCAAGAATCAGAGCACACCAAGCTCCTGGATCCAGCCAAATCTTGTTTGAACTGTGTAATGCCAATTCAGTTAGAGGTTCGTTCTTTAATAATGGAGCTCCAACTTACTCCTGCAGAATACTATATTTCAAAGGAAAGAAGGTAAAAGCTAATGTCTCACACACTTCTAACAAATATTGATCCATAACGCAAGTGAAAACTAATCCCAGATTGAATTCCCTTTGTGTCAGACTGTCTACATCAACTTCTTAGCAGCTTCATTCATACAGCACTTTTGTAAAAATCCCTGTCCTGATGAGCTGTACGATATTGTGAACTGCCATTAAATGGCTGCCTTCCTTTGAAATATCAGCAGTCTGTGCTGAGAAAAGTGTTTACGTCAGCGCTGTTGGCTGGACACAGCAGCAATGAACTGGACTGAATATGCACACAGGGGATGTCGCTATGGTATTAGCGCTTTGATCTGATACTACTTTTGGGACACACTGATACTGATACAAACCTTAAAAATACAGTTCATAGCATCAGCTGAACGTTTGTCTGTTTTAACATTACTGACATTTAAGATATGTGCACATACAATGTATTTGCGTAGTATACCTTTGTCTGGATGTATTGAAAATGCAGTTCCTCCATCTGTAATTATAGTTCTCCAAGTAAACTTAGCAGGATGGTTTCTGGGATTGTATACCCTGACAGTTGCTCTAAATTCTGTCTCTGCTAGGTAGCCAGGAACAGGATTTAAAATCAGTTCCCTTGCAGACAGCTCAAGTTCCACAGACACTGCTTTTGCAACTACCAGCACATGTCCAAGGTGTTGGCTGTTTATTGTATAAGTGAAAGATCTGTAACATAAGAATATATATTTCTCAATGTTTTTATTTATTTATTATGTTGTAGTCAGAGTAAAATTTATGTGAATCACAATCATTAGCAAGAAAATACTTAACAATCAAGCATGCACACAATTAAGACTGACAAGAGAAAGCAATTCATACTAGTTTTGCATAAAACTTAAATCATGTCAAAAGTGAAGATCATCTTAAAGGATGATCACCCACATACAGTCATTTTAGCAGCATTAGTAAAGTGAGAATTCCATCTCCACACCAGAAGGCTAGAAAACAGTTTGCCTATACTTTTACCCACGAGGTGCATCAAAAGATCTGAGCACAGATGCACTGATGAAACACAATGTCAGGAAGAGCATAGTATTTTTCAATAAATTTGTCCTAACAAACACACTGTAATAGCAGTTTTTTCCCTGATACATCTGTGTCTTTATGGGCTTTTGGCAGGACAGTTGTGGGTTGGTTTTTTTTTAAGCTCTAAGTAACTTTACTGTACTAACAAAATGTTGCTAGGAAAAATTAAATTAAAATTAAATGCAATTAAAATTGCATTAATTATTGCAATAACACCACAAATGAGTGTATGGTATTAACACCTATCGCAATTACACGAGTTTAAACCAGCCATGGTTTTTTTAATTCTATTACTGTGATGAAAATATGTAAATCAAGACAAATACAAGAAGCCTTACCTTTTAAACATTCCAAGAGTGTCTTTCTTGAATACAACTGGAATATGAGTCTTTGTAAGAGGAGGCACCACCTGAGACAAAGGACTTGTCTGCTGTAGCTCATCAATTTCCATCTCAATTTGTATCCATATATGAACTAACAAGTTATTGATGATGTACAGTTTTCTAGCTGTTGTAGAACACACACAGACATCACCAAAATCCATAGTAGAAGGACCTGAAATAAATAAGAAATAAAATCTTTATACCTTAATTCTGTCTGTGTTAGCCAGCTATTAAAATAGGAAAAGCAGCCTGCTAATTACCAAAGGCATTATTAATAACCAAAAATACTTCCTTTTATTAATCAGATATTTAAATGGCTAGGCAACCAGCAATTCACTGAGAGTTTATATACTTAACCTGTCTATTTGCTTCCTGATGTGTGATCATTTGGTTTAATAAGGCATGTAATTTGATGGTGACAGAATTATCTCACTACTGTATTTACTGCTATCACCAGTTTCTATGCTGGTCTGCAAACTTGAGTGCTCATGGTACAAAGCAAACATCCTACAAAAGTCTATATACTTTTTGTATTAATATGTTTATCTTATTCTACCTTTCCCCAAGGGTATCAGTATACACAGCTGCAGTATTCAAGTTCTGGCTTCACTAAAAATTAAAAAAAAAAAGCCCAGAAATTTTCACTTTGCTGTTAAGTAATTTTACTGAATAAAAATTGACCTTAAAATAGGCCAGTTTTAGTGCCAAGTGTTGTTAATAGATGAATCAGTCCCTCACAGACCTTAGAAGGTATCACTCCCCATCACAGAGCATTCTACTGAAATTATTTTGAAGGAGGATCCTGAAGAAGTTTTACTTTGCTGGGGTATCACTGTTCACTGCTAATTCCCAGAAACATCTGAACACTCCCATGAATCTTGCTGATATTATGCTGGTCCAGATATTATCCAATAACAAGGCATAAGAGCATGAGCAACCCTCACATTATGCTGTGCTGATCTCTCTACAACAGGCTGTAGCATAAGCAATCTTTAAAAGAAGCTCTCTTTTTACATAACTAATCATATCTCAGTATTTTCTGAATACAAAGCTTTAGTTAAACACTATGGTAGATATAGAGTTGCCACCAAATTAAGCTGTTTACTATTTAAGGTGAACAGTTACAGATCTAAATTGTTACTATAAGTGCTTTTATAACAACTATATGCATATAACACAAGTTAAAAGTCTTACCAATGAGTATTTGGTGAAGCTGCTTGGATGTCAAAGTTAGACTACAATCTTCCTTCTCTTGGCTAGAGGATGGCACAGCACTAAGCCCACTCCAAATCTGTGGTAACCACAAGACATCTTCTCAGAGCAGGATCAAAATTCTTATACTTTATATGGTAAACATATTATGCTTACATTACTACTCAAGCTTTTAACTTACTTCTTTGATTGAAGATTTGGAATCAACTGCTGCCAATTTTTCACTAGTTAATAGGCAATTTTCATCTAAAGGAAGCATTTTCAGTTGCAGCTTCTCCTTGTGAAAATCTGTGATTGAGATCTTTGGTGACATAAGTCCTTCAGCTGGTTTAAGGCCTATGTTCACAGAATTGTTATAAATATAAAACTGCCTATTGAGGAAGGAAAAAAAAAGGATATGGAAATCTAGAAGCTTGGGCATTCCATGTTCTACATAGTAAACTAATTAGGATTTTTAAACATAACAATAACACTTTAAATAGAAATATTTAATTATAAAAAATCCTCAAGTACAGAAAATGCCTTGAAAACTCTTTTATTGTATTGTATAGGGAAGTATTAACATCTGTTGCGCATTTGTGGCAATTGCTTAGCTAAATAGGCTGGAAAAGACCTCTAAGATCATCAAGTCCAGCTGTCAAACCAATACCCTCATGCCCACTAAACCATGTCCTAAAGGGCCATATCCACACATTTTTTGAACACCCCCAGGGACGGTGACTCCACCACTTCCCTGGGCAGCCTGTTCAAATGCTTGACCACTTTTTCAGTGAAAACATTTTTCCTAATATCCAATCTAAACCTCCCCTGGCACAACTTGAGGCCCTTTCTTCTCATCCTATCACTACTTACTTGGGAGAAGAGACCAACATCCATCTTCCTACAACCTACTTTCAGGCAGTTGTAGGAATCAATGAGGTCTCCCCTCAGTCTTCTTTTCTCCAGAATAAACAGCCCCAGCTCCCTCAGCAGCTCCTGATAAGACATGTTCTGCAGACCCCTCACCAGCTTCATTGCCCTTCTCTGGACACGCTTCAATGCCTCAATGTTCTTCTTGTAGTGAGGGGATCAAAACTTAATACAGTACTCAAGGTGCAACCTCACCAGTGCCAAATACAGGGGAAGGATCACTTCCCTGGTCCTGCGGGCCACACTATTTCTGATACAAGCCAGGATGCTGTTGGCCTTCTTAGTCACCTGGGCATGCTGCCGGCTCATGTGCAGCCAGCTGTCAACCAGCACTCTCAAATTTTTTTCCTCTGGGCTGGTCTCCAGCCACTCTCCCCAAGCCTGTAGGGTTGCATGGGGTTGTTGACCCAAGTGCAGGACCTGGCACTTGACCTTATTAAACCTCTAGCCTACCCAGGTCCCTCTGCAGAGCCTTCCTACCCTCAAGAGGATCAACACACCCACTCAATTTGGCGTCATTTGCAAACTTACTGAGGGAGCACTCAATTCCCTCATTCAGATCATTGATAAAGATGTTAAACAGGAGTGGTCCCAAAACTGAGCCCTGGGTAACACCACTTGAGTTGCAAGCTTTACAGCTACCAAAATATAAATACTATATCACATCTAAAATACCTCTTAAAGAACAATTAAGTTGTAAAGACAAGTACTTAAAAGTTAGAAAACGCCAAGATTACAAAGGATTCTTTCATTGTATATGTCTGAACTGGACCACTTATGGTCTAATTTTCAGAACAATTAACTTTTCTTGGTCAAAGTTCAACTCCAATCAACCAATTTCACCTGCACCAAGAGATTTAAAACTTCCAGAGAACTTACAGAGATGTTTCATATCAAGTATTCAGAAAAAAAATTACTATGTTTGATGGTAACAGTGAAATTAACCTGATAACTGAAATTTTCCTTTCTGTTCTTACTCCTCATGCAATATACCTTAAATATGTGTTACAGCCATACAAACAACAGTTCACCCACTACACAATACCAATTCCTTTCAAGAAAACCATACATGACGTGCATGCATGAAAATAAAATCAGTCCAGCTCTGCAGGCCTTGTCTGAATCATGATGTACACATATAGAGCAAGGTAAATTGAGATTACAAGAATAATCCACTGGCTTTATTAATTTTTAATAATGAGTCTTGCAAACTTAACACTCTTAAGGTATTACTTCTCTTGCTTTAGAGGCTTTACAGGCTTTTTTTTTCTTTTTTTTTTAAGTAAAACTTCTAAAGGTAGCACAGCCGTCAGTTCTACTTTTCCATGGTTTTGCTCAACTGCATACCAACCAAATACATGAATTCATGACATGAGAATTTACTATGAAATAAGCCTGGAAGACCAATACAATCCTTTAATCTTATCTGCTTCGTTCCACAAATTATATTCTAATTTATATACTGAACCCAACACTTTGAGTGAGCTAGACATATTAGTTGAAAATATGTACAATTTATTATATCAAAAGAAAGGAGAATCCAACACAATCAATGTTATGTTTTTCCTATTAACCACGACCAACTCTTCTTAAAACTTGGCACTTACTTAAATTCATTTTAGGTTTAATTTCAAGTTTCATGCCTCTGTCCTACCAGGCAGGGAGTAACCAGGAGGTGATCTCTAAATGTCTAAAGGAACATTTGAACAAAACAAGTTTTGAATGCATTACAAAGACCCAAGACCATAAGCATTTCAGCATGGGACAAATTTATGTATATGATTGATGCCACTAAGTTAATTCTGCACGTAAATACACATATTTTTCATATAAGCCTAAAGTGTTTATTTATCCTTTAAACAAAGTCTTACCTGGCAGCCTCTTTCTGTAAACGATGTTGTCTTAAACTAGAAATATAGTCTTCATAGTATTTCTTATGTGCTTCTTTTGACAGCCGTTCACAGACACTATAAGAAAACTCTGGATCTATGTAATTGTATCTCTCAGTCTTTGTGAAAATAGTCCTAAATATTTAAAGAGAATTGTAGTTTCACTACATGTGTAAAAAGATTCTAGGTCTTGTTAGACTGAACATATTGATTTTGCTACATATATATTTCATTACAAACATTCTTTTTATCACAGTTGATTATTAATATTCAACCTTGTAAAACAGCCATAAAAACAAAATATTGAAACTGTAATAGCTACATTTGTAGTACCACATAAGGAAAGCAACTCAGAAAATTTATGTGCAAGAAGCTCAAGGTTAAGTAGAATTCAATGAATTTTAAAGAACTTCCAGCCTGGGAAAAAAGTAAACTGTCATACGAGTAACCGATCTTGATCGACTACGCAGTATATATAACTGTGTGGTTCTAAATATTACATTCCCTTAATTTTTACCTGTACTTTTTCTTCCATTCACTAGGCCTAATGCTGGCTGCGCGGTCATTAGGAAAAGCTATAAATGCATCACTCTTCCAACTCCTGTTTATCCGATGAGTGTGAATTTGTGTTTGGGTTGATTTAAGCATTGCCACAGGTGCTGTATCAGTGGACTGTCCTGTGCCATCAGCTACAAACCGTCCAGTTGCATTGGAAATCATTGGTGTTATACCTTAAAATTCAAATAAAACATTTTACATACACTTACACTAATACTTTCAAAACAACAAAGTATTAGAAAATTAGTTCTTAATTTATACTGGCCCCACCCAGCAGCACAACAATCAGTCACTCATCCCATTATGTCTTCCTCAGACAAAAGGGAACAGCCAACTGCCCTTCTGGCCTAGATCACAGACAAACAAATGCTGAAGCCCAAACCAGTACTGCCATGTCCAGCTGTGGCGCTTTGTCTTACACATGAACATGACCAAACACTCAGAGCTGCCTCTGTCACAACACTGTCTGCAGTGTCCTAACACCTGTCTTAAGGGCTGCAAACACAGGTAAGATTTTTTACTAGAACTCCCAAGCTATCACATGTAAAAACAGAGCTCATATCTCTTTCACTCTAGTCTTAGAAAAGCACATATACACTAAAGATAAAGAGAAAAATTATGATGGAAACTAGGCCGTGTGTTTCCTCACCTCATGTTACATATGCGTTTAAAATAGCACTATAAATAAATAAATCCATTCTTCAACTACCCCTTCCTCCCTCAGCCGAAAAAAATTATATATTAAACTAAACATATTAGCTTTACCCACTTTAGCCTTACTTTACTCTAAAATGAAAAAACCCTACTTTCCATCCTCCAAACTATAGGAGTAATTACAACTTCCACTGCCCAGGGAGACACAGTTTGCAAAAAGCTTGATTCCAGTCTCTTCCTCGCCTCCACTGAATACAGAATGACAAATGCACATACTCATCCCCAGATACTGGGAGGTGAGCACAGGAAGATACAGAACCCATCTATTCAAGAACATGAAAAAAACCTCACTTCCCCTTCACACTTCAATGAAGCTTAAGAGCAAAACACATATCAGTAGCCTACAGAGTACAGACACCACTCAGAACCTCTTTAGAAACCTGCAAACAGGGGCAGAATGGGGGCATTAATACAGCAAATGGTAGACAGGAGCATATAGAAAAGCTGACAAAACTCAATTACTACATGAAATCTTCGATCCACAGAAACATAGTTTAATTGTGCTTTTGAAGCACAAAAACTGCAGGATTTCTGGATTTCAACATTAAAACCCATAAATTGCAAAACTTTAGTTTCTCATCAATTCTTGATTGCCAGGGACTTGAAATACCATCCTGAAAGTAGCAGAGGAATGTCCAATGGCTTATCAACCATTCTGATACTTGTAGAAAGAATAGCATTTTATCCTAACTTTCCAATTACTTCCTCTTTTCCACAATGCTCTCTTTGGGGGAAAAAAAAAAAAAAGGGTATTGCCTTCCTGTTCTTCATCAGTGAGTAAAACTTCAAGTGGGCAGCAGTCAGTTAAGGAGTATTCAAGCTCCCCTCCTTATCTACACAGAGAAACCAGATGCACCACTGTACAGGACTGCCCTGTTGCAATAGACAGCATCACCTGCAGATGCTACAGCATATTTAATGCTAGAAAAATCTATGTTTCCCATGACGGGTATTGCCTTCCTGTTCTTCATCAGTGAGTAAAACTTCAAGTGGGCAGCAGTCAGTTAAGGAGTATTCAAGCTCCCCTCCTTATCTACACAGAGAAACCAGATGCACCACTGTACAGGACTGCCCTGTTGCAATAGACAGCATCACCTGCAGATGCTACAGCATATTTAATGCTAGAAAAATCTATGTTTCCCATGACTGGTTTTGAAACCCAGTGATAGGTGTATTCAAGCCTACTGTAAAGTGGTTGTTCATAAGACATCTTAGGAACATGAGGAACAAATTAGAGACTAATTATTGCATATCCTGAAAGATTCTTTATGCTGGCATAGGCTTCAGAGGATGAGAAGAATAAATGGACATGGGACTGGTAGCAGGCTGTATTAACTAGCAAATTTATCTGGCAGTAGTAACTTTCAATCAGTAAAGAATATCCTGTTATCTTTTCTAACTCCTTGCTGTGCTTTACTTATCTCTCTACTTACAACTGAAGCATGTTAGCACTTGTGTAATGGCATCACTGACAAAATCTGGAATCTACATTTTCTGATTAATAAAAGCTAATTAATTATATGAAAATGTATGCTTTCATTGTTCAATTTTTGCTAAAATGAGAGGGAGGTTACCATTATTTCAGTCATTGTGTTATACTCTTATGGGTATACATCATACAACTGAGCATTTGCTCAACTCCCAAGGAGATACTATTTTTTAAAAACAAACTACAAATAGTAAAAAACTCGCTTAAAGTGTTAAAAATGTACTTTTCAAACATTTTATCACTTGTCACTTATCTTTTTATCATCTTACCAGGATTAATTTTGAATAGAACGTTTTTTCGTTTAGATTTGCACACACCAATAAAGCTCAAATATATTTGGTGAAGGGACTTTGTCTTCAAAACTTGCAAATTATTTTTCTCTAGTCCTCTACCAATGACATCAACAACTTGCTTCACTTTAAATGTTCCTATTTGATGTGGGGAAAATGAAAATATCACATCCTGGAAAAGAAAAGTCATTATGAGGCATATGAGGCAGAAAAGCAAAGAGAAAAGTTTTGTGTAATTCTCTGTTTCAATGAGTCACTTTTCTCCACACTTACTTCTAAGACAGGTGTTCAAAACTGGGCTTTTAGAATGTACCAACTGCCACACATAAATTAACAATATAAGGAAACACAGAACTGCTACACGTTAGGACACCACAAAGTCTCACTTGGTCATTTCTGGGACAAATTGTTCTCTCTTATGCTCTAAGATACAAGTTTGTGAAATTATAAATGTCTCCATATTTGACTTAAATTTGGCAAAGTCTCTTCTATTAAAAGAAGTTATGTTACTCAAGCATTTGTGATTTACTGAAAGAAATGAAAAGGATCCTGCAAAGCTTTGAGTATAAATCAATCTCCTCAAGTCAGTAAAATATATATAAAAAAAATTAAAGCCAGGAAAAACCTAGTTAATGGTAGTACTAAAGAAATTTTATTTTTTCCAAATTTAAAATAACACAGTTGTTGCTTCCTGAAGTACAGGAAAGTGCATTAAAACACACTGCATAAGGAGAAAAAAAAAGACATTTAGCTGGTACTAAACATTATGGCTACTAAAATGAAATTGTTCTGGTTTACTCTGAAGAAACACCACTACTGAACACTGTAAAGTAATCTGCATATCTACGTAATCTAAGAGAAAGAGGTACTTACCTTCGCAGATCTTTTTTCAATTTTTCCTTTGTCAGGAGAAATCTTAAATTGAGCAGTCTTGCGGAAGCTGAATGTTACTGGAAGGTACTCAGATTCATTTCTGAGTGTGCATAGAACCTGAGTTTGTTCACCCATGAAACAGTCCATAAACTTAATAACTGGTCCTGGATTAAAAGTTAACATGACAGGAAGCCCAGAACCTGTCAAAGCTAACTCTATGTGATGAGGATGATTCACTGCATTAGACAAACACAAAAAACAAAAAAACAAACAAATCTTACCAATTAGCTTACAAACAAAAAAAGTCATACTATACTGTGGTTGTATGGTTGCAAAAACAAAACAATACTGTAACACAATATGATTTATAATGCACTTTTCCATAAACTTAACAGACACGCTTATTTATAATGGCTGTTAGATAATGTATTTGCTCATTAAGGAAGTTGAGGGTGATCTAATATTCACTTGAAAATGCAAAAAAATTGTATTATCAAAGTGCTGGTGACTTACAAGTGGATGAGGTTTGTTTTATGTCCTCCAAATATTTACATTTATAATTAAGTTCTAGGTGTTCACTACCAACAAGTATATTCATGACATGCATGATTCCCTTTTTCTTTGTACTCAATGTTCAAAGAGTTTTTGGTGCTAAAGCATTAAGGATGTAAGTTACAGTAATTTATTCATATTGATAGAAATAAAATAATCACACTTTTCACATAAAACTGCTAAAAAGGTTAATAAATTAAAGAAAAAATCAAGATATACAGTTTTGTCATCCATCATGCATTTCTCACTGTGACTATACATTTCTGATAACATACTTGTGATTGCTGCGGCACCGTCGTTGAGGGCCTGCAGATAGCCATCTGCATTCCCAGCAGCTTCAAATCTCAGAAACAGTGCGTAGTATTGCTTCAGTGATAAGTCATTCACTCCCAAGCCACTTTTAAATTCTCTGTAAGAGTCACAATCTCTAATTACAAGATGGGGAAAGAAACAAACCACCAAACCCAACCCACAAAAAATGTAAGGCTCATTTTTCATCATCCAGTTTGGCTTCTTCACTGTTGGTTACACCTTTAACAAATGATCATTATACTTCCTTTCAGATAATGGAACAGTAAGAAATTTAAGCCCAGTAATATCTGTGTGCCTATTATACTCATAATTTGATATATTTTCCAGTCTACAACAGCTTTCTAAACTAATATTACACGCGTAATTATAGTTTATAATCAGAGTTTAAGTAAGGGAAAATGGCAGGAGCTCATTTTTTTTCTTTTCATTATCCAATGAAGAAAAGTTCCCTTATGCTTACTATTTCTTTTAATGGAATGAAAGATCTCCAAAATGTTTCAGGCTCTTTGCGATGAAATATATGTATTCTTTCATAATGCTGCATATATAGTATAACTTTATGAAATAAATCTCAAGTCATTAAAAAGGCACTTAATTTGACACTGTGGAACTCTCTCAACAATCTTTAGGTCTTTCAACATATTTAACAGGAGCTGCAATTAGTTCCCTTGGCAAAATCTGACAAAATTCTTGTTGTCACAAAACAAGCTTAACCAATTCTTGGTTCAAATACATCCTTAACGTATTCTAAAACATCTCCCAGGTGTTCACTTCAGACTTTGCTTTCTCATTTGTAGTATCATGCCAAGCAAATTTTTAAAGACACATAAATATGTAAGACATCATTCAGAAAAAACTTTGCAGACACACCAACTTGGAATTATTTTCTCTTACACAGCTCTTTACAGAGTAGTTTAGACCAATCAACTTGTGTTCATCTAATTTAGACCACTCACTTCGGACTAAAGCACAATGTAAGCAAAGATTTCTGATAGGGTAGCAGCGTTCCTTGATTGGGAGTGCACAAGATCAAGTTGGAAACATCTGCATCTCTTGTTCTATTCCTGAGGCTTAAGTCCCGTAAGACAGCATCTGTACTCCTCTGAAGATCTGTCCCCTAAAAAATAATCATAACGTGAAATACATCAGCTTGTTTTGTTTCCCCTTTTTTCTTTGTTTGGTTTGGGTTTTTTTTTCCTACACATACATTTTAATATCTTTCAAAACAAGTAAAAAGACATAATATAAGTAATAGCACTGACATTGTAAAGACACCACATGGCTAATGAACCAATTTTTAAGCATCAATTTCATGTCAATGTTTTGAAGTACTTTTTCTAAAGATGATGCTTTCTCAGATGATTTCACTGTCTGAGAGAAACAAGTGAAACCACAGATGCTTAACATATTCGAATACGAAAATTTACTTTGATAATTCCTACTAAATGATAAGAAATCCAGTAGGTGAAAGCAAAACCTCTCAAAAACAACCCCAAACAAATAGAACAAAAAAACACATCTAGGGAATGTACTTGACATTGTTAAGGTTAAAATGTCATGTACTGAAAGAGAAGTATCCAAAAAACTTCATTCTAAGGTTAAATTATAATTTGTAAAAAACTTGTTGGTTGGACAGAAGTTTCAGAAAGTTTATCAAACAGGAAATCGTATGACATAGTAAACACTACTAGAAGATGAATGTTGAGAAATAAAAAATGCAAAAGCAGAAATGAAAACAAGTTTTCAACTAAAATAAAAAACAGAACATTTTCTTACCATTTCTCCTCCAATGGCATTGTCTTCCAGTACTGCTACCCAGTCCATACACTCAGGACTTTCATTGTATAAATATATTTGTTCAGTCTTTGAAGACCCGAAGTAAACTGGTCCAAAGTTAACGCATTCCAATTTATTTCCAGAAGACACTCCCAGAATTTTAAGAACTTGTTCAACCACAACAGCTTTGATCCATACTTCAGTGTAGCCATGACCTTTCAACTTCACTCTGTCAGTAAAAATAGCAAGCAGCAATAGGTAGTGTAGAAAAGTATTACAAATAATCCGTTTGATTTACATTAGAACTTATGCAAAGCTGAACCAAATCAGAGCATTTAAATCACTGGCTTTCCATAGAAAAACTAAGGGTGGGGGGGTGGGGGGGGAGATAAAAAAATAAAGGCAAAAAACCAAACAATGTGATACCTAACAGGTATGCTACCAATCAAGAAGAACCACATATTACGTAGCGGAGCTTTGGGGAGCTTTCTGAGTTTTTCCCCCTTTTTAATGTTTGAAACAACAGGAATGACATCTCAAAGAATCACAATAGTCCACAGATTATACACTGCTCTTATTTCTGACAATCTCTGTATCTAGACACCAATTTTGGCATATAATTACTAATTTTCTCTTAGGTAACTGCAGCTAGAAGTTCACCTGAATAAGTATAAAAGAACTGCTACTGTTCCTGAATGAATGCTTGATCTTGATGATACCACAAAAAAACAAGGGGTCATATAGACATTGTACAAATCTTTGTTATTAGAATTCTACTGGAACAAAGCATATTTGTTCTTACTGCACAAAAGAATCAAATTTAGTAATACAATTTTTTGTCCTAATAAGAACAACTCTCCTTTTCAACAGCCTCTGAGCTGAAAAAAATTTAAAAAAAAAATCTTTGCTTTGAATAGTCACTTATATAAGGGACTGGGATATACACAAGGGATCTGGGAGAGGTTCTCAAACTCTCTAAATATCATCTTTCCAATTCTGAAGCATGATTCCGTGATGTGCCAAGACAGAACAGAAATCTCAAAAAAATACAAGAATAGATCCCTCTGAAAAGAGGTTTCCTTGCACGTAGAAGCAAAACACTTAGAAGAAAAGGCACATGGAAACAACCAGGATGTTTTCATCAAAGCTGTACTAGTTCTCCAAGTCAAATTCCTGTCAAAAACCTATAGTAAGACTACCAATATTACCCTATTTGTTTAAATACATATATACACACATGTAAACACATATATTCATGCTTTGCACAAGGCTTGACAAAGAAACTTAAGATTTCATTTAGTTTAAAGGATATAGCAATGACTACTAAGAATTGCCAAATTCACTGACAGAATTATGTAGAATTTAAGGCACAGAAGGGGTCAAGGATAAAATTTAAGCTGTGTAGTTATGTTCTTTCAATTTAATAGATAAACTATCTAGTAGACTGCAGGAGACAGTAGCTGTTTAATCAAGATGGTGCAAAGAAAAGAACAGTGGTAGCCTGGATAGCAAAGGCAAGGCAGGAAGCATGACACTTTTCAAGCAAAAGGTTGAAACTCAATAATCAAACAAAATATCACATGAAGGAGGATGTAACTGCAAGGCTAAATACAGATGTTATCTTCCCTGTCACTCTAATAGCATTTTTCTCCTTTCATGTCATTTTCTTTTCCAACAGGTTACAAAACACAAGAGCAGGAAAAACTGAACTTTAAGTCATATATCTTAATAATTTACAAACAAAACAGGAAGCACCCCCCCACAAAAAAAAAATTAAAAAAATATTAAAAAAATAAAAAATACCCAACTGCACCCTAGTCACTATTATAAGAAAACAAGCTGCAAAAGGACTTTCCAGATTGGTATCCACTTGCAAAATCTAGCACTTCCTAAAAAGTTTATATTCACTATTTGAAGAGACACATGGTGGGCATTTAAAAATAGTCTATTCTAAAAAGAATTAGTGGTTGCAAATACATTTCCACCATCTAAAATAAGATACACCAAAGGACATCATAATGTTTCTGAGACTCCTGAAACATGTACAGCCAAAAAAAAAACCACCCCAGCAAAGTTACAGAAGCTAAAAAAATGAACGCAGGATGTGCGAAAAGGTGAAAGATAAAAAAGTTTTCAGTTATTTGTATACTGAGAGATGTACAAACATCCCATGTCATTACTACTTATGAGAAATCTTTAATAACACAACTGATGCATCACTGTTTTGTGGAGATAATATAATCACCAAATTAACTTAAAAATAAATGTGGAAGACACCAACTGACACCTAGGAGTTTAACCATTTTAGATAAACATTCATAACACTGACTAGAATTGCTAACAGACAAAAATACCATTTACAGAGCTGGAGTTCTTCAGTCATACACTCACTCACTTTATCACTTCCTTGATGATTCTGGGTAAATCTGTGCAGATATCCACTTTAACTTTCTTTACAGATTTTGGTTTTACCACTCCACTGCTAGGTTCTATGTTAAGAACAACTCCATCATATGATATTTTAAATGTACCTAAAAGAAATAGAATAATAAATAGAAAGTTACACAACATAAAGTTGCAGATTCATATTCTTCCATTACATTCTTGGAATTACAAAACACAGAATGTGGATATACACAAGCAGCACATTTTCCTATGGAAACAGGAAACATTAAGTTAACTTTTTTCAGAACTATTTCTAACACAAAGTATATAATTATTTCCAGGGTTTCTTTAAATAATATACACCCATCCAATGTCACTTTGCAAGTTGTGATTATAACAGAAAAGGTACTCACATTCCAAACATAAGTGACTATATAATAAAGCCGTTGTAAGTAACAAGTGAAGAGTTATCGGATACTTTATACACAGGTCAAGGCAGCTACCATTGATAGAAGGTTAAATGCACGTTGCAGGTAACAATAGTTTTCATTATTTGGTATGCATACAACAGAATTTCTTGAGAAAAGTTATTATTTCTAAGTTATAAAAATATGTTTTACATGTGAAAAATTTATTAAATGTGTATTTAACCAGCAGCACTACTAATTTGTCATTATATCATACATAGCAATTAATTGTTTCAAATGTTGTAGGAAAAATGCACTGTTTAACCTCAGACAATAGATAATCTCCGATACGAGATCGGAAGCAGGAACAAAGCACTTGTTTTGTGCATGGGATGACATGTGAAATGCAGTTCTTGACTCACAGGCCAGCATGCAGCACTTCCTGC